GGAAGGAAATCAGCTTCACATGTTTTTAAGAAGCACTTCTGCCAGTTGTTGTGAGGACGATGTGTCTCATCGTGAATGAGCTCATTGAGATTCATCCAACATACAAAAACGCTGCCTCATGACAGTTTTTTAGGTTGTTATTAAAACCGAGCCGACGAAAGATTTGAAGGCGTCAACGTTCACAGAACACCAAGTTCCTGCACCTGTTCATCAGATAAACCCAGAATCCACTCATTCATGTTCCTGGACACCTGAACTGTTTCCTCAAATATGGTTTGAAGGGAACCTGATTTGTGACAAAGTGACAAACTCCATATTGAGATGCGTGAGGGGTTCAGGTGCTGCAACCATGTGGGGAGCAGCGGTGGTCCATCAGAACCAGCAAGGCCTCCTCTGCTGGCCTACACTCATCACAATCACTGACTTATGTTTGAATATTGTCCCATTAAGCTTTTAACTTCATCCCCAACAGTCTGTTCTCTTCATCTCGTGTCTCTGGGCTGTGAGGCTTCCAGCAGCCTGTGTTTATATCAGAGCTGTTATCCAATCAGATTTCAGCCGTCACGTGTTGCCAGGGTCACAGAAATCTGATCAAATGTTCAGGCCCCTGTAGCTTAAAGTACACTGACATGAAACTGTTGCTTTAACCAGTCAGATTGAGAGTTGGTGGTCCCAGGGCCCGCGAGCTGGCCTACGATGACGTCAGCATGTCCACGTCCTCTGATTGGACGGTCAGAGAGCTGAGCCAAAGCCGCTTCCTGTCAGTAGCGACCTGCACAAGATAAAACTTTATCATAGAAGTGTTCATAGCTGGACATTCTCAGCCCTGAGGTGAATGCCAGAAATATGACTGGACAGGACTCACAATCACTCCCCTACAATGACTAATGCTGGTCCTACGGAACCCAAAACCTGTTCAACATGACTCAGAAAGGTTCCAGAACGACAGAAGAAAAAAAAAAGGTCCTAAATGATCTAAAACTTGAATTCACAACTGTTCGGGTCACAATTTGTCCAAAATGGCGACAATCTGCTCAAAGTTATGTAAAAACTGTGTGACTTAAACTTGAGTTGTGTGTTTAAATCGACCAAAGAGTCTCGTTTGGTTTTCAGAGGTTTGCGACTCCGTCTTACAAGAAATGTACGACGTGCAGAAATGTGTCGCATCAGCACCACAATGGAAGATCTGACAATAAAGTCGTTTTTCTGACTTCCTCGTCATCAAAACCAACCCCAGACATTATGCGGTGCACGCTGAGAATACACAACTGTGAGAGTGATAAATGTGGTTCACACAATAAAGAAGTTCAAATAACTCATTTCCTCATTGCAGCTGCCTTTGTGGCAAAGTTTCCTCAAGACCACGTGGTTTTTTTTAAGATCATGTGCTTTCACTGGTGATCGATTGCGTGAGCGCATGAATAACGAAACCAAAAGCAGACCCTGATGTCGAGGCGAGTCAGGTGGGAAGAAAATTCCAGGATTGCAGAGAAGCTCCGTATTTAAGAAGCTTCGGTTCCACATCAGGTCACAGCGGCTTCGGATCGTCCAAAGGTAGGAATCTCCTGTTTCCTCTCCAATAGCTAAAATCACTCTGTAAAGAAGTCTTGTGTCTTTTTTTCTTGATTAATATCTTTTACTTACAAGCATCATAGTCTGTAGAGGACCGTAGCTACAACAACACATGTACGGTAGATTAGAAGACAGGTGTGACAGAGACATTGTGGAAAATGTGTTGAACACAGGAGCTGCAGCAGCACGAAATGGAAAATATCACGACAGAAATGTGAAATCAACAGGTTTCACGTGTGATGCTGTTTGTTTTATGACAACAGAAGTTAGTGTTTGATGCAGTTCTTCTCAACACCTGGATGTTTTTGAGGAAAAGCCACAGACGTGTGCACCAAGGTGAAGGTTAAAAGCTACAACAGTCCTGTGTTCTGACACTGGATGCTGTTTCTGAGTTAACAACAGACTGCCGGCTTCACGCACAAAAGAATCTTTAATCCAAACAAACGTGTCGGCGTTACAAAGGCAGGTGAAAGCAGCTCAGCATTCAGAACCAGAGATCCGAAAAGCAAAACACCAACCTGGTTAACAGGAGGCGAGAATACAGAACAGGCCGTTGTCTGAAAAGGAAAATGCAGGAATGTACATGCGCAGGGAGCTGATCAGAAGATCAGACAGGTGGTTCACAACCAGCGTCCAGAACCTGGAACCATGACGTTCTGCCTCTCCTCTTCCTCTTCAGGCCAAATAAGGAAGTTTGCCACGTGCCATGGATCCGTGTGTGGCGACGTGGAAATTATGTGAGTGCTTCTGCAGCAATGTTGTGTTTGCTTTAATTCAAACGAGCTTTTAAAATCCTGATCAGTGCACATGTCTGTACACGTATGTATATACCTACATGTGAATTACAATAAATGTAATACAGTTTGTGTTAAAGCTGGAAAAAAAACAGCATTTAAGAAATATTTGCTGTTAATTGAAAGAAAAACAAGGTGATAGAAACTGGGAAACAACCTTGTCGACTGTTATTTTACTGTTAATTTACAGATAGCTCGTAAAATCAAAGGAAACAAGGGAAAAAAAAAATAAAAAAGGTCCAAAACAGGAAATAATGTCCACATCAAAAATCACTGTTTTTAAAAGCTGTCATTGGTTCTTTGACAACATAAAGATGTATTTAAACTTGCATCATTTTTATATGTTTGCTGTTATTATTATTTGTTTTTAATTCACTTTTTCACTGTTATAATATTCTATTTTTTCTTTCTANCCCAACAGTCTGTTCTCTTCATCTCGTGTCTCTGGGCTGTGAGGCTTCCAGCAGCCTGTGTTTATATCAGAGCTGTTATCCAATCAGATTTCAGCTGTCATGTGTTGCCAGGGTCACAGAAATCTGCCTCCAGGCCTTCAGGATCAAAAGTGCAGGCCCCAGGCACCACCTTTAACCTCTCGCTGCAACAGTCTGCAGTTCCCACCTGCCTCAAGTCCTCCATGATCATCCCAGTACCCAAGAAGAACAGAGGGAGTCGCCTCGACGACTCGGTCACTATAGCCCCCATCATGGCAAAATGCTTCGAGAGACTCATCATCTCCCACATCAGTTCTGCCGTCCCTGCTGACCTGGACCAACACCAGTTTGCTTATGGAGCAAACAGGTCAACAGAGGACGTCATTCCCCACAAACTGGTCAAGAAACTGGGTGACGTGGGCCTGGGCAGCTCACTGTGTGCGTGGATACTGGACTTCCTGAGCAACAGACCCCAGAACATCAGGATGGGAGGCCACACATCCTCCACTCTCGTCCTAACACAGGAACACCACAGGGGTGAGTCCTCAGCCCCCTCCTCTGCACCCCCGTTCACACCACCAGCACCACGGTCCAGTTTGCTGACGACACCACCACTGTAGGACTGATACCAAACTACAGGGAGGAGGTCAAGCACTCGGCAGAATGGTGTCTCAGCAACAACCTGGACCTGAACACCGGCAAGACCAAGGAACTGGTTGTGGATTCAGACGATCCACATGCACCGAGCACTCTGCCCTCTGCATCAACGGAGAGGAGGTAGAGAGAGTGGAGAGCTTCAGGTTCCTTGGAGTGAACATCTCAGCCGACCTGACCTGGGCCGACAACATCTCCTACCAGGTGGGGAAGACACGACAGACACTCTACCTCCTCAGGAAGCTGAAGCAGGCTCCCCTCCCTCGACCCCTGTTGGAGAACTTCTACAGAAGCACCGCTGAGAGCCTCCTGACATCCTGCTGCACGGCGTGGTTCACCAGCTGCACTGCAGAGGACAGGAGGAACCTGGTGAGGGCGGCTGAGAGCGTTATCAGGACCACACTGCCTCTCCTGGAAGACATTTACACTGGCCGACTCCAGAAGAAGGCCACATTCATTGCATTTTTGTAATCTTGATTGAAAAGTATATGAATGACGGTGAAGAAGTTTATGTTAAGGAGCAGATGAGGCGAGTGTCCTTAAGACAGACGGGTCATGAGGCCACCTGTCGCAGGATGATCGCAGCATGAACTCATTGCTAAACAGCTGGTGGTTCCTCTTTGGGTAAACAGGTTCCTGTTTTGGTAAACTTCGGTAAATACGGAACCGGATGCGGGGCTGAAAGATGAACCTCATCATGACTAAGGGGTACCGAGGTTAAATGTCTGTTAGAAATGTGTGTGTGTAATAATGAGTGTGTGTTACGGATGAATGGTTACCCTGGGGAGGGGGAGAGCTGCAAGAACAGTACAAAAAGGCCTGACAAAGAGACAGAGATGGCTTCAGACGGAGGACACTCGTGGACGCCGTTCTGACCAGAAGGCCGGAGGACTGTGTCCGTGCATCGGGACTCTGTACTGGGTCGCTGCTTCACTGGAAGATGATCTCTCCAAGCTCAGGTGAGACGGAGCGAAGCTGATCAGAGGCCAGGTTGTTCGGCTCTCTCCCTCTCTAAGTTAATTATTAGATTATGGTTTTTAGTTTAGGAACAGCTCAGTTTTATAATCTTATCTTTAACACTGGCCTACACCCGTTTTGGTGGGTTTTCTGAGCTGATTCTGGACAATGTGCTGAATCCAGGTGTTACACTGGTTTGGCTCAATGTGGTCACAATTTGGATTTGATGAAATATGCAATTTACTTTTGTTTACCTGTACAAATGTTTACGCTCATCAGCTTCTGGATCATTTAGCTTCTGAAAAGGATTAGAAAATGAAATTTTCCTCTAACATCCAGTTTCACAGGAGAAATACTCAAATAAATCAGTCGCTCATGTCAAAGAATGCAATCGATTTAGTGGCAAAATCGATGTTTTAAAATCGAGTCGGCATAAAAACCTGACCTGTTACAGGAGGGCAGATTTGGCCTTTCATCCTAGACACCTTCAGCAAAATATTTTAATTATTTACATCGTAGAAAGATTACTTTAATTGATTGGTTTAATTGAAAAGTTAGTCAGTTGTGTGCATGAGATCTTTATACTGGTTCTTCATGGTTATTCTAAGTCATGAGTGAAATAGTATTTTTAAACAGATCTCTGAGGTTAGTTGTGCCAAACCTCTAAATCTAACCCAGCATCTTACCAAGTGCTCGATCCATTAAGAGGAAACCTGCCACTAACAGACGTGTCTGGTAGTGATGTGACTACTGAGGCTGCTTGGTTGCGTCAACTATTAGAGGAAGCGAGGTAGACGTCTGGACTTAGGCAGTTAGAAGCTGGGCGAGGTTCCTCCACACCAGCTTAAGAAGTTCTACAGAATCCTAGTGGGTCAAGGGCCTGTAGGCAGTTAGAACTTAACCCTAGTAACAGAGAGCTGGACCAGTAGCCCTATACGGGGTGATACCGGCATGGAATAACTATGTATATGTCTACATGTGAATTACCATAAATGTCCTGCAATTTGTGTTAAATCTAAAAAAAAACAGCATTTAACAAATATTTGCTGTTAACAGAAAGAAAAACAATGTGTTTGAAACTGGTGAACAACCTTGTCGACTGTTGTTTTGCATATTTTTGTCTGTTTTGTTAATTTACAGATAGCTCGTAAAATCGAAGGAAAAAAAAGTAAAAAAACAAAAACAAAAAAAAAAGAAGTAAAAAACAGGAAATAATGTCCACATCAAAAATCACTGTTTTTACAAACTGTCATTGATTCTTTGACAACATAAAGATGTATTTAAATCTGCATCATTTTTATATGTTTGCTGTTATTATTATTTGTTTTTAATTCACTTTTTCACTGTTATAATATTCTATTTTTTCTTTCTAGCACTCTTGTTTCCAGATCTTTTATGTTTGATTTTAAGTTTTTTTTCCCCCCAAGATTTTTTTGTGTAATAAAAAAGAAATAAATAAATTGTGATATTTTCGTTGACCCAGTCGTATTTCTATCGTCTCCGTCTGTGAGCTGAAGGAAGCTTTCAAGTCCTCTGCTGTGTCTGCAGCTGCTGCCGGTGTGCTGCTGCTGCTCTCTCTGCTCCACGTCGCTGCAGCTGTCAGCCTGAAGCAGCATCTGGCCGACTGTCTGGAGGACAAAGACTACGACCAGCTGCTGCAGACGGTGCAGGACGGCCTTCCGCCCGTCAACAGATCTCATCATGTGGTTGTTGTCGGAGCCGGCATGGCTGGACTGACGGCCGCCAAGCTGCTGCAGGACGCAGGACACCAGGTAGTGAAACAGGTTCAGCTGCACTGTTGATCTAAAAATTTGTCAAGGAAGATGATGAGAAAGAATATGTTTGGAAAAAAAAATGGTGGAATGCTGCAAAAAACTGTGGATGTAAAAAACAAATGGTGAAAATGATGAATGTTCTGAAGCGACCTGCTTTAAGAAATCAAGCTAATAAATCCTTTAGTGTGACACACGTCAATGAGTTTGTACTTCATCTGGTTTCCATTCAGGTTTGTTTGATGTCTTTAATCCTCCATCACTGGAGCTGCTTTGGGTCCATGTCATTGCAGATGGTGAATTATTTAGAGTTTATTGTTACTTGAGACCCAAAACCAACAAAAATGTTGACAGATTTTTGAGATTTTTTTTATTTTCAGCTTCAACAAAAACCCATCTCACCTGCGTAGTTTCATGTTTTCACTGAGTTTTGTGTGACTATCCACCGACTGACCGTTTCATCTCACATGTGGCCGTGTTGGCTTTATTTTCTTTTTATCTGTAACTTTTAAAAAGTTCCCTCTAAATGCACACTGTTGTCATTTATGGGCAAAAATGTTGAGTCAACCATAGTTTCACTTAAATATGTAATGAGACGCCTGTTGATAACCATTTTGTCAAGGTGACCATAGTGGAGGCCAGTGGGCGTGTTGGAGGACGAGTGGAAACCTACAGGAATGAGAAAGAAGGCTGGTACGCTGAAATGGGAGCAATGAGGATCCCGAGTTTTCACCAGTAAGTAAAACTATATCTGACATTTACAGGTCTTGCTCTCAGACTAGTGCCTGTTTTACAACGTCGTCTACATCACCTCCTGCCTTTGTTTATGAAGTCTAAGGTGTTGCTCAGCCCTCTGAAGTCCTCGTCCTTTCCTCACTGTGGTCCTGCAGACACGTATTTTGAGCGCCGAGTGTCTTCGTCTGTCCAGCAGTAGCTGCTGCAGAAGCAAACGTGACTCATTTTCTGGCTTTTCCACTCACTATCACTCCCACCAGCATCGTCCGCTGGTTCGCCAAAGAGCTGGGGGTGAAGCTGAACAAATTCATCATGGAAGACCTGAACACCTTCTACCTGGTCCATGGGCTGCGGAGGAGGACGTACGCGGTGAAAGCCAACCCCGACATCCTCCGGTACAACCTGCCGGAGAGCGAGAGGCGGCGGTCGGCCGACGAGCTGCTGCAGAAAGCTCTGCAGAAGGTGTGTAAGGACGGAGGCGGCTTTTACTGAGATGCTCTGATGCCACTGTGACCTGAAAGACTGTCCTGCATTTGTACTTGGACTGAACCAATGCTTTCGTCTAAATGTCAGTCATATCTAAAGTTGGGGGGCTGAGAGCTGATTTGTTGTTTGTTTTCTGCTTGGATACTGAAAATGAAAGGAAGCAAAGACAGAACACCCACGGTATTGTGAGGATTGAGACGTTTAAACTCAACTAAATTTAGTGGAATCTACTCTTTATTTAATCATATTTATAACTGGATTAAAATGTCTGTTTTTCCAACCAAATATAACGACTTTAAAAGAGATTCCAGCAAAAATGGACTTTATTTTCTGCATCGTCTGTGCAGAATTTAAGGCTACGTTCAATCCTGTAGGCAAATCAGACGTGGTTTTCTTGTGTCCAGACATTACCGGCCCTTCTCTCCATCGATTGCAGTATCAAAGTAGTAACTATCTACGTACCTACGCTGGTGACACGTCTTCACCTTCCAGCTTGTCCTGAACTGAAATCTTCCCCGTAAAAGGATTTGCGTTACTGTGGCTCTTTTCCTGCCAACCAATCAAACATTAAACGGTTCAGGACTTGTCAGCCTGGTTCCCCAGAAATTGGAGATGAACTGGTTTGTGGGCACTGGGTTGCCAGCAGACATTTAATCACATGAGGACTCATTTTCATCTGTAAAAATATGACTGGAATCGTTGATTGGGATGTGGTTGTACAGACTTTCTGAACAAGGCCTGAATGGTTTTCTAGTTTAGGACAACAGAAAACTTAAAATTACAAACTGTCTTTTCCGCAGGTGAACGATTACGTTGAAGCTCACGGCTGCAGAGCTGCACTGAAGAAATATGACCACTATTCTGTGAAGGTAAAGCTCAACGGGAAGCACAGACGATACAGCTTGTGTTTTCTTTTCTTTTCATCTGTATTCATATTCAGCTGTGGCTCAGGAGGTAGAGCAGGTTGTCCTTCAATCGTAAGGTTGGCGGTTCGATCCCCTCCACAGTCGAAGTGTCCTTGGGCAAGACACTGAACCTGAAGTTGCTCCCAATGACAGGCAACACCTTGCATGTCACCATTGGTGCATGGATGTGTGTGAATGAGAAACACATTGTAATAGTGTGTATAAGTGCAGACCATTTAAAAACATTTGCCATTGGTTCTACAGGACTACCTGAAAACAGAAGGTGGGCTGAGTGCGGAGGCGCTGAGGATGATCGGAGACTTGCTCAACGAGCAGAGCCTCATGCAT